CACTCAAAATGAAAATAGGTACTATAATAAATCTAACGGACCACGCAATACTTCTATCGGACAAAACTTTTGGGACACAACATCAAATTAATTACAAAAATTTTAACAGATAACTCTTATCCCCTAAAACTTATAAATTCCGTAACTAGTAACAGACGAACGTACCTTTTGAATAAAATAGGGACAATTGCACAGTACATAACGATTTACCTGACTCAGAAACTCATTCTGGTGTAATATGTTTGCCATACATTAAAGAATTGTATGTTCCTTGGAAAAAACTTTTTATAAATCTGGACTTCGACTTGTAACCAATTTTAGTACAACTACTAGCACTATTTTTACAAAAACAAAAAACCCCATTTATATCGAACGACTCAGAAATCTCGTCTATCAAATAAATTGTTTAGACTGCAATTTAATTTACATAGGAGAAACTAGCCAGAACCTCAATAAACGGTTACAACAACATAAAAACAATTCAAAAACCCCAAACAATTCAAAACTGTTCTTGCAGACCATATATACACTTTAAAACACAATATGGACTTTTCTAATCCGACTATACTACAATTTGAACAAAATTTATTTAAAACGAAGAATTATAGAGGGATCTTTTTTAACTATTTATAACAATAAGACAATAAATAAACGGAATGAACTCAACACGCTGTGCGACACACATCTCTTCTATTTAGATAACATTTCCAAATTTCTTACAAAACAATAAAAGCGTTCGCGCAAAGGTTTTACAATTCGTCCACACATGTGCAGAATCTTGGTAAAAATATTTTTTAAAAAATGACTTTCTCCATTACATCTTCAACCAGTCTACGAATAACACACTATTCATTTGTGATTTTTTCAAATCAGTATTTTGTGAAAAATATTGTGTAATTTCAAGTTATGTTTATAATACATAGTGTAGTGCATTACCATATCCTAATACCATGGATTATTAAAATTTTCAATTTAACACTAAGATCAACTAATTGTAAGTACTAATTACTATTTTATTTTTTCTTTTCACTCCAATTCAATTGTTTAGTTTTTAATTTTATTTTTAGTTTCCACTGAATGAAGGCTAGGATTATAGCCGAAACGTATGGATTTAAAATAATTTTTGAAAGAAATTCATGTTTTTTATTGATGTTATGCCCGATTATTAGACTTTGTTAATATATATATATATATATATATATATTATATTTATATTACAGTACACATTATATAGTGTATATATACAAATATATAATATATACATTTATGCAAATTGCCTATCTATAAATGTATTGTAATAGTATATGTAACATGTTATTGTTGAAATTAGTACGCTTTTTTATATTCAATTTTGGTTTTTTAATTTAAAAAAAATTTGAATTCAAACGGTCTATATATTGGTGCATTTCTTCAGCATTTTATATTCGCACCCATGGTCGACGCTGGCGCCATCTACATTGGGAGAGGAAACTAACCGGACAATTGACAGTTTTGACCGAAAAACGTGGCAACGAAATATGGCCCGAGAGAGCGATCTATATACTCTTCTTTTATCTATGACTACACCTTTGTGTGCGTAACCTTGCGTAACTTTCCTAAAAACATAGAAAGTGTAACGCATAGATAAAAGAAGAGTAACCCGTAGATAAGAAACGTCTGGTCTATAGATTAACAAGTATAAATATTGCTGGTCAAAAAAAAGGTATGAACACATAGTATTCTAATCCTAAACAATACTAGAATCCTAGACAATATAATAATGACTAGAATACTCCGTGTTCATATAGACGTTTCTCTCGCCCGATTTTTAGGTTCAGAAGGAATACTTAAAGCCTAGACAATATTATAATACCCCGTGATTCTAATATTGTCTAGGGTCTGGTCTGTATTAAGTGTTGTATCTCAGTGTAAAACCCGCCCTTGTATCATTATTTTGTCTAGGCTGATGTATCGTCTATAGTCTATATTGTGTATTTTGTCTAGAATCTAAACTAGATATTGGTATCAAAAATCACTGTTACATGACTGTTACTAACTAATTGGTAAGATGTTGTAATTAATCCCCACATCGCTGCGCTCAAAACGTTGCAGGCGACAGTATTTCATACATAGTATTTGAGAATAATCGCCTATTCTCATATTATAAAATGATCACTTTGCAATATTCAAATTTAATTAGTGCGAAATTATGACGCATGCAAAGGTAATTACTATTAATCTTTACCAACAATTGTATCAATACATACTAATAATTATATTATTTGAACTACTATTATTATATTGTCTAGACATACTAATCATGGTTTCCGATTTGCGAGGTTAACATTGATATCTTAGACAATTTCTAAGGATACATAATGTTTGATATCGAAAAGTTTTTGTGATGCCAATATTATTTTGATTAAAACTGTACAGACACACTATATATATATATACACACAGAGCTATATAAAATAAATTTTAATATTTTTAATTCAATGTAATACATCAAAGTAATATGATGTAAATCTTATTAGCATCATGTTACTATTACACAATCTTGCGACATTGAATAATAGTTGGATTTGTTTTAGAGTAAAACCAAAAATTGCAAGTATATCATTCAATAATGTCTAAAGAACTTCCCAATCGAGAACCTTTGCCCGGTGAAGGGTTACGTTCACTGAGAACAACTGGTATATTTCGGGCTGTAAACTTTGAACTATATGCAAAACCTGTAAGTTTTACATAATTGACTTTAAAAATTAGTTTGATTTTTATTTATTACCTATTTTTTAGAATATGTTTATAATGGGTATTGGATTAGTTGGAATCACTATTAGCTTGGGTTATATTGCTTACATGCGATCAAAATATGAAGGAATGGGATATTACTCAGCAGTTAAAGAAGATGGAACTGAAATTTTCACTAAGAAAAAATCAAAATGGGATCATTAATGTAAATTAAATTTAATATTAATTCATATAAATATTACCATATAGAAATATATTGACATGAATGAAAATAATTCTAAAAATTGTTATTGTTCGACAATGTTAATAACATAACTATTTTAACGAAGGATTAAGTGTGTAATATGCGCCATCTGTCAACTAACTGGATATAATGATAAGAGGATTAAAAAAATATATATTTTACAAAAATCCTAGCATGTATGGAATTTATTGGAAATTTGTTGGCACATTTTCGATTGCTTAGTGATAAATTTGAAAATACAATCTTGATTACAAGATGTTTGTGTCGCACCATGTTCTGAGGTAATTTGTTTGCTAGTCTGTACTTTTTTTATGATTGAACCTTTGCTAATTCTTGTTTTGAATAAATTTTTTTCAAAAAAAGTCTACATCATGTTTTAAAGTGCTTTCATATTTTGTAAACTAAATTTTAAATTGTTTGGATTTTTTTATCATTTTATTGCATTTTTGTCATAGGCTTTATAATACTTGCATTGTACTATAAGCTCTATGATTTTTGTATATAATTTGGAATAATTTAAAAACAAGAGAATAAAGTGTCAAAAATCATATATTATGAAAAAATCTCAAAAATATATATGATGTTTTATTGCAAATTTAATAGAGAATTAGATTTAGGAATAGGATATTTGAAAAATATTTGTGTTCGTAAATATAATTTGGGGCCGTTAAAGGATAGTTGGTTAACAATTTGAGGATGGTCTATAAGTATTAATACAAACTTCATAAAGAAACAAAATAGTATCGATAAAACAACATGTGGCAAGAGATGATATGCTGAACTCATTAATATAAGCAATGTGTTGTGGTCAAAGCCATGAACAAGGTTAATTTTGTGCATTTTAAAATATAGATATTTTAGGAGTTTACTCGCATTGGAGTTATTGATATGATGAGGATACCATAAATCTATCCATATTCAAACTTAAACTGCAGATTTGCATAGTTCATCCAAATTAGTGAGTGATTTGAATTAAATTCTTTACAGCTTCTTAATAAATTTTAACTTTTTTAATTTTTGAATTAAATTTTAACTTTTTAGGAGTTTTATTGCAAATATTCGCTATGTGGTCTGTAAGACTAAACAGAGTGAAACTAGTTGGGTGCATGGCATCGTGCCTTAAGGAAAATTGCTGGAACTTTCCGTACTGTAATTAAAAATCTTGATACGGAATCCAAAAAAATTTACACAAAATGTGTACACATTAAAATTCCTATAAAATATCTGATAATTTGATGTACACATGTCCAATAAACATTTTTGACCGCCAAATGACATTTTTTTAACTTATTTTTATTGTGAGTCCATAACCGCTAGACCTGCTTTCCCAAAAATTAAACAGAACGGGGCAAAGAATGCCAAAAACGGTAACTCAGTTTTTAAGAGAACAGACTGTCCATTTTTAATAATTCAAAATACAATTTACTTGTATTGATAAGTTAAAAAACTGATTGAATTTTTTGGGAAGCAGGTCTAGCGGTTATGAAAATTGATCATTAGACATATGCGCATCAAATTATCAGATATTTTATAGAGATTTTTCATAATGTGCCCACATTTTGTGTAAATATTTTTAGGTTCCGTACCAAGATTTTCAATTACTTTACGGAAAGTTTCAGCAATTTGCCTTAAGGCACGATTCCATGCACCCCACTAGTTTTGTGATCAAAATGAAAAACTCCCGGAATAATGTACTATCCCGGAATAGTGTACATTTACAGGAAAAAGATGATATTAGAGAGGCAGATGATTACTATATTATCATTGCAATGGTTATCAAAGTTATGTTTAATACCAAAATTAACAAATTCTGAAATATTAGAAATATTGAGATTTTAAGAACTTTGTTATAGTACTATAAAATTTATAATTATTAAGCTAAATAGTCCAATTCCAAATCCGTCAATTAAGTTAGAAGTTGCAAGTTTAAATACTACAAGTTGCAAGTTGCAAGCTTAACTACTGGCAGGGGCGTAACTACCGCCGTATCAGCCGTATCAAAAATACTAGGCCCCCAACGAGCGCAAGCAGAAAGCAAAACTACAATTTTTCAAAAAATAATAAATATTAATAATTTTAACGTAGTTTTGCATTTCCTTTTTTTATCGAGTGTGATGTATTAAGTTGCCTTGCAGCGGAGATTTAATTGAGTAAAAACACTTCGAGTCCTTATAGACTAATGAACAACTTTTATTTACTTTGAGTACAATAATTTCATGAATAAATTATATAATAGGTTATAGAGTTTGATTTAGTATCGTCCATAGATAAGGAAAATTAGAAAATAAAGAAAAGCTGTGGTTCCAAGAGAGAAAGTGTGAGTGTCGCCTGTGCATCTTATGGCTCGTCTCCATTGCACGAATCCGTACGGCGAATCTGTATGCAATGTGTGCAGACTAAATTATTGCAAACAAAAGCAAACCTCGCGCATGTCAAAAACAGGATTCGCCGTGCGCGTTCGTGCAGTGGAGACGAGGCATTAGGTCTGACTCCTTTGGATGTCTTCGGGTATCTACGATACCCTTTGCCTGCCCTAGGTAGTGGGGCCCATACTAATAGAATATTCGATATAGGGGTTTCAGCGGGCACAACAAGAGGTATTGAACTTCAACTTGTAAGCTAACGCTTTAAGAGAATTTATTTCTGCTGCAATATTTCTGCATGCTCTAGCAATCAATTCAATTAGTAAAGCCTTTCCACATTCGATAAGTTAACAAATCTGTAAAACTAATTCAGATTATATGTTCTTCATCAAAAATTGGAATTTGTAATTTTTATATTTATATCGTTTTTTGTTTGTTGTTGTTACTACTTGAATTGTCTGCTTGACGCGTCAGTTTAATAGTTAGATTTTGATAAATATGATCAACTAAATCATTTTCAGATTTCTTTCTTCACCGTTTAAAAATATAAGTTTCTGTTCTGAAACTTTACAACACGCCAGTAATGACTTACAAAAAACTAGTATTTTATTAAGTAAACTTTTGAATAGACTGTACGAATTAAGAAATGAAGATTTATTGAAATAGTTTGTTAAAGAAGTACAAATAATTTGCAAAAAATATGGGTTGCAATAACTATTTTAAAGAACAAAATACATAAGATAATGAAGCGTTATTATCACAAGATGAGAGAATTTTAGACCCAAAATCTTATTTTAGTGTATACTATTGCTGTTTGGATATATTAATTTCACAAACCACACAAAGGATTACAAGAAAACGGCCCGGCCGATCGTTACCAGGAACTAATCAGCACGATTCCCAACCAATATCTTTCGAACGGTTTTTTATTTTCAAAATCGATTCAGAATTGCTAAAACGTGGACGAAAAATTTTTCACTTTTCAGCGATTTACAAAGAAACGGCTTGGATGATCGTCGCGCAAACTTGATAAACGCTAGTACTTAACGAGATGCATCGAATGGCTTTGCCATCGAATTGAAATTTTTGAAATCGGTCCAGCCGTTTTTGAGAAAACGTCGATTTACGGCAAAAAATATGTGCGTGCACACGCACACACACACATACACATACTTTTGCTAAATTTGCCTCATTCGATTCAGAATGGCTTGAAACGTCGAGAAAACATAAAATTAGCGAATCGGATTTTTTGATGAAAACAAACTTCGTTAAAATTAATTGATTTTAATATTTCAGAAGTATACAATGAGGCAGATAATATGATATATAATATCAGAAATTCCTATGCCAGAAGATATTTTTAATACTATAATATTCGTAAATACTTAAAAAAAACGAACATAATTTGTAGCTACATAAATGTGATTATTTTAAATAAATAAATATATACATTTTATATATATATATATATATATATATATATATATATATATAGGAATAAAAAACAAAATTAATTGACTGTTTTTTTATTTAAAAACAAAATTTATTTTTTAATGTATCAATAAGAATTCTCAATTGATCGGCTATGCAAATTGTGGGTTGCTGATTAAAAAATCTACATATATTTCGTAGAACGACTGGCCATTTTGTATGTAAAATATATTTTATATATTTATCTGAAAAAAAAAACGTGAACGCTTTTCGACTGGAAGTACCAGTATGCTTATTTATCTATGAGTACAAGTATATCCAAAATTGAAAAAATCGTTCGCATTAGCACCGTAGAGATAGATTACTGCCAATTTCGAGTGTACAAACACAGAGAGCAAACATCAAAAAACCAAATATTTTGTTCGCTCATGGTACGCCATAACACGATTCATTCTCATAAAATAGGTGCGCCGAGAATAACAAATCTTTAACATACACTTACGTGAGGCATGTTATGCTACCATGCAAGTGAGGTAACAGAGCGTAGCCATGTTACGGCAGAATCGGTGCGTAAGTCTTCTGCTCTGTTTTGGTCCACCGATATTAAGCATTAATCGCACAAGACAGGAACTACTGATGCTTTGTCACTTACTTGTTTTACCTGCTCTTTAAAATTAAGTCGGGCTTCAAGCATCACTCCCAAGTATCTAATTTAAGGTTGTGATATGATTTCTTGTTCACCGACTTTTAACTTTATAGTCTCTATGATTTTTTTGCTGGTGATGAGTACTGCTTCTGTCTTCTGTTTAGCTAGTGGAAGATTAACAGTATCCTTCCAGCAATTTACTATCACGATACCTTGAACTGCGTTGCTGTGGAAACAGCGAAGTTACCTTCTTAAGAAATGTGTGTGTGTATGTGTGTGCGGATACAAATTTTCGACGACGATTACAGGAACCGATTTGAATAATTTTCTTCTGTAGCTCCATATTGGTACTAGTACGGTTTTGTATATTAATGTCTTGTTTGCGTATGATATTTTCGATTTTCTGCCAATAAGCCAGTACAATTGTTTGAATTTTTGCATCGTTTGCACGTAAGTCTACGGTCTAGATATAGTCCTCAATAATTAATGCTGGTACTAGGAGGAATTTCGATGTTATTTATAAATACGGCCTCACAGTTTTGAGTCCTCGTTGTAAACGTGATATGTTTTGATTTGTATTCATTTATACTTATTTTCCATTCTTTGAACCATTCTTGAAGTGCGAATAGATGTTCTTGTAAGTTTAGAAATGCGATTACTGGATCTTATATTAAATAGTATAAAACTGGTCCTAGTACACTGCCCTATTTTCTTGGGTAAAAATCTGATACTGCATCTCTTATTCTTGTCCTGAAGTACCAGTCAATAATGACTTCAGTATTTTATATAATTGATTTGGTAAGCATTTTTTCATTTTGGCTATCAACCCATCATGCCACACTCTATCGAATGCTTGTTTTACGTTAGGGCAATACTCACTGTCTTCAAAAGCTTTGTGAATGATTGAAGTTATCCTATGTGCCTGTTGTATAGTGGAGTGAGATTGTATAAAACCAAATTGATGATCTGTTATCGCCGTAAGATTTTCTTGGACTCTTACTAGTAATATTTTTTCGATTCTCCTTTATAAGCTCCAGTTTATGTTGCGCTAGTTCTGGTGTGGCAATCCTAGCAGCTTATTGAAGATTACCTATAAATTGTTCCATTATTTCGTCGAGATCATTTTCATTTTTAATTCTCACTTTAAGCTTGATTTTTGAATCAATTACATTTTTGAAACACTCCCAATTCGTTGAATAGTTTGCGTTGTACCTTCTGTTTTATTACATTAGTACTTAGGGCCAGGATTATGGGCGTATGATCCGAAGACAATTCTTCATTACTTTCTATATCAATATACTTGCTTGAAATATTTTTTGTTATAAAAATAATCTAGCAGATCCGGTATCTTCTGTATACCTGTTGGCCAGTAAGTTGGACTCCCAGTTGATATTATGGTAAAGTTTTTCTTATATTTTAACTCTGCTAGTTGTTTACCTTTTGGTGTCATGAGTCTTGAGCCCCAGATTGTATTTTTAGAGTTGAAGTAAATAAATTTATTTCCTAATGTTTCAAATTATTCTTTATAATCGTTTTTCTTTAGATTATATCGTGGAGGGCAGTAGATGGCTGAAACAATCATATTGTGTTTGCAACTTTTTATTTTAACTGATGTTGCCTGTATATGGTTTTGTTGATATTTGACTAGCTCATAGTGTTCTATTGATAATTTTATTAGAATACCAGACACAGCGTGTGATGTGTTGTCAGGATGATTAGTACCATAAAAGTTGTAGAAAGGAATTTTTATGTATGAAGACCCTGTGAGATGAGTTTCACTTATTAATAAGATGCCAATCATTTGTATTTGAAGGAACATAATTAATTTATTTAGATGATTTAGTATGCCATTTGCATTCCATTCAACAATCCGCAGTGATTTAGCCATTATTTGTTTACCAAAATAGTGAGCATCTGCATGATCATATTATTTTGTTTCATGAGTAGTTTAAACATATCTCCAAAAATGTTCAAGAAGTCTTGTAGTACCGCTTCAATGACTACAATATGATTCAATAATTTCGTGATATTGTAAATTTCATTATTATTATTAGAGGGCTCCAAATCAATAAAAAACATGTTGAGTGGCTTTTTGGTTATATACGATCTCATATTTATTATATTTCTGACCTTGTGATTTTTCTTCTCTAGTTCCGTTTTTATTTCGTCGATATCCTATGTATGATGGATATTTTTGAGAACCACTCTGTATGCTCTTTCATTTTTAAGTTGATAAGTATGATAAACAGTACTATCGGAAATCAAATAAATCACCGATTATAAAATATTTATTCTTTAATACTGTGATAAATTTTATAAATTTATCTAAACAAAATTTTACATTGCCAAAACAAACGATCCAACAAAAACCCAACGTCAATTATTATTTTATTCCTCGCTTACTAAAATTGACGCGACCTGCCAATCTCCCACATATTGGTAATAAAATACACTATGCAAATGTTGCATATGCTGTTCGTGCCATTCCGATGCAACCAATATATCATCGATGTATGCATAACAGAAGCCCAAACCTCGCAAAATTTCATCTATGAACCGCTGAAAAATTTGCGGTGCATTGCGTAAGCCAAGTGTCATAAACGGAAATTCGAATAGCCCGAAAGGCGTAGTGATTGCAGTTTTTGCAATGACTTCCTGAGCTACAGGGATTTGATTATAAGCTTTCACTAAATCAATAGTAGAAAATATCACCTTACCACATAATGCATGCGCAAAATCATGGATATGGCGAACTGGGTACCTATCCGGTTGAGTCCGCGCATTTAACCTGCGATAGTCTCCACAAGGTTGCCACCCAGAACCTTTTCGTACCATATGTAAAGGCGATGACCAACAGCTCTTGGACGGTCGTGCTGTCCCTGCTTTAATCATTGCTTCGAACTCATATTTAGCAGCTTTTAACTTATCTGGTGCAAGGCGACGTGGTTTATGTGCTATGGGTGGTCCTGATGTAGTTTCAATATGATGTTGAGTAACAATTTTGCACACCCCTAATGCAGTCTGCCGTGTTAGGTCTGGATATTCCTCTAAAATTTTATCATATGGGTATAATGTGGCTGCCGTCATTTTAACGGAAGGTATTATTCTGTTTCCCGATTGAAGTTGTTCCGCTGAATCTGCAGGGGTTTCAACTAATATGCTCTTTTTAACATCAATCGCGAGATTGAAATAAGCAAGTAAATCTACACCAATAATAGGACGCGACACCTCTGCTATCATGAAATTCCATGATAAGGTTTTGCTAAGTCCAAAATCTAACTTTAAAGATAACATACCGTATGTAGCTATCGGTGTTCCATTTGCTGCCGAAAGCTCAAATGAACATTTCTTACGGGGACATTTCACTAAACTGCGCGGGTACACACATACATCGGATCCAGTGTCTATCAGAAAACTGACATTTGTCTCCTTATCTGTGATGAAAATGCGGCGTGAGTTATTTGGGCGTTTGTCACTAGCCGCCATTAGTGAACGCCCGTATCGTTTCCCGACTTAAAATTACATGGCGATATACACCTTCTCGCATGACTTCCATAGCGTCTATGAAACCAACATAAGTTATCTTGTCGTCTTCTAAACGATACTTTCTTCTTCTGATACAATTGAATCTTATCCAAACGTTTTAAAAAAGCTTCAATATCTTGACGCAATTGACGCAGATCAGCATTCTTTGTTTCACTCTCAGAGGTTTGTGAATCTGTAATCACAGCTACACGTTGCTGTGAATGGTTAATGAATAAGCGGTCAGCTAGTTCACCTACCTCTTGTATTGACTGTGTTTCAGAAGCAACCTCCAAAAATGGTTAAATTTCCACTGGATGTCTGGATAACCATATTCTTTAACTGCGTTATCGGTCATTGAAGTCCCGACTAAAGTCCTCAAATGACGTAGGTATTGAGATGGCGTCATATCACCCAAGTCTACATCCGTCATAAACAACTGCAACTTCGACTTTTCCGAAGTGCCTAATCTTGAAATTAACGCAGCCTTTAATGTAGAATAAGTCATCACCTGAGGCTCATTGACTATCAAATCTCGCACTTCGGTTGAATGTCTAATATCCAATCTGGTAACCAATAATCCATATTTCTCCTTCTCATCGTGGATATTGGAAGACGCGAATGCCTTCTCCACTAAGGCAAACCAAAGTTGCAAGTCATTTGGTATAAATTCCGGAATGTGCAGTTTGCGGCAGCTAAAATGTCCGTGTTGACGCGGCATAATGTCAAACGACAGGGGTCACCACTATCAAATAAATCACCGGTTATAAAATATTTATTCTTTAATACTGTGATAAACTTTATAAATTTATCTGAACAAAATTTTACATTGCCAAAAAAAACGATCCAACAAAAACTCAACGTCAATTATTATTTTTTTCCTCGCTTACTAAAATTGACGCGACCTGCCAATCTCCCACAGTACTATTTGATTTCAAAAAGTTTATAAGCAGCTTATATTGCTCGGGTTGTTGAACATTTATTTTCACTGTATCGTCCGAGATTGATTTTGTATAATATTGTTCATTGTTTATTACACTATATCAGATATCATATCACATAAATTATTTATATTATATCGAAATATTGGAGGTGGCCTTGTAGTTTTCTCGGTGTAATCAGCTTGTGTTTTTTAACTTTTAACAATAAGTATAAATTTTGTTTACCATTTAAATTTTGTTTGACGGCGACGCGGCGCTTACGCGCTTTCATATTTCCTCTTTATGCAGTTAAAGCAGTACGATTGCTTTGCAAAAAAAGTTCAGACTTTCCAAAATATTTCAAAATAAATGATTTAAGGTAGAATGATTTACTATGGTTCGAAATTCTATTAAAAGTTTCAAATCATTTATCAGCTTTTATTGATTATTATTATTGATTATTTTTCATTACTCGAATTTTGAATTGCGGTACGGGAAGTTCCAGCAATTTGCCTTAAGGCACTATGCCCTAATTGCCTTAAGACAGAATTCCACTTATAGCTAGTTGTTGTTTGGGACGGACGACCTTTAGTTGTTTTTAATCCATCAAAACCTGTTTCGAGTCGGCGTTATGTTTACATTTTCGACATATTTATTAGTCGATGTACGTCTGCGTTTGCTGCCTGGTTCTACTGTATGCCAAGAAGTTGACGGAACTATTTCGTCCATAATCGTATCGTCTGATTGATTTTTTCCATTATTTGAACTATTAGTTTTCTGATTGATTACTTGTTTGATAAATTCAATGTCCATCGTCGATATATCGTGATAAATGTTGATAGTTTCAACTAACGGAGGGATTGAATAAGTTATATTTTCTTGATTTTGCATAATTGTAATGAAATTATTCACTTATTTACAATTAAACGCTCCCCCACCTAAAAGGAGTATTTGTTGTACAAAACAATGTAGCACTGAATACTTGCTGATTAATATTCACACTTGTTGTTTACATAACACTATTGTGCACTATTAAATTTCAGCCCATCCGTTCGGGTGTCTGAAGTCTGGATTGCTTGCGCACCGAATTGCAATCGTCAGGCGGCAGCCTGCCTTGTCGATTCAATTACTTGCTATTAAGGCTTCAGGCAGCAGATTGTTCACTTTCACTAAACTTTCAATTAGAAAGAAATATGAATTTAGTTTATACCGCCGAATAAATTAGGAAGTTAAATACGTTAGTTTGTTCAATTTTTGAGCAAAAAGAAATTTTTAACAAGTTCGAGTACTTGTGTTAGCAAATAGAGATCTGTAAGATATGTATGCAGAACATGAAATAAAAACAAATATTAGAAAACAGTATGTATTATATTAAACCACTTTATAAAATAACAATAAAAATAAAGATCTCTACCATATACAATAAACATATTGAGTAAGTCCTTATAATATAATAGAAAGTGTTAAAATAAATAATATATATATATATATATATATATATATATATATACAGTAGAACCTCGATTATCCGGACCTCGGTTATACGGATTCGCGATTATCCGGACTACCAACCGCGACAGAGTTATATGTATGTACATACCTACAATTCGAATTTTTGTACGATTTATGCTGCAGTTTAGTATATGTATGTAATATAATCTAACAAATATATATGTACATATATAAGGAAATGTTAATTTCTTATTAAACATTGATTTTCGTTGATATCTATGTATATATTTGTTATTTTTGATAAATACACATCATTATTCTTCATACATTGGATTATCCGAATTTTTGATTATCCGGATGCCTATCGGCAACAATTAGTCCGGTTAATCGAGGTTCTACTGTATATATATATATATATATATATATATAACAAAATAAATTCAAGGTGATGTATATATATATATTTATATATGTGTGTGTGTGTCTGAGTGTGTATCAAATAAAAAGATTGTAGACATGCATTTAATTTGTAATTAGTTGAAAATCATTAACTACCCAAAAACAACATATACTTTGTTATATGTAATATATATATATATATATATATATATATATATATATATAAATATATTATAGAATATTTTAAAAACATATATTATATCAAGAAAAATTTGTATGCCTAGGTTTTCCTTCAGATTTTTCTATCAGTTTAAAAAAAAAATAAAGATAAAAAATGTAGTCACGGAATGAACATTCATAGTTCATCGAACATAATGATTTCATCTTATAAGGTTTCAATAAAATGAACTATAGACACATATTTCATACAAAAGTTAAAAACTAGCTATAATTGAAATGCGATTATCTTTAATATTAATTATTCAAATACTCTTTTTATACAACACGCAATATAACAATAATCTACATTTAGTTTGAATATTTAATTTTCTAGTTATTAAAAAAAAACAATGTTTTGCCTAAATCTTATATTAAAATTATTTCATAAGGAATATATAAATAAACCATACTTTGGTATATACCATATCTTAAAGTAACATATGATCCAATAAACTGCATAATTTGTTGCATGCGAAATATTATATATGGCTATTTTTTTTAATAATTAATCATTACACATAAAAATATCAGACCTTGTCCAATAGTCTACAAACTTACAGACATTAGTAAACTTAATAGTCTATAAACAAATTTTTATATATTTCTGATGATAAGCTATTCATTTACAGCTGTGTAAAAACTGTAAACTGTTACGAAAAGGATTGAAAAGAAATTAAAAAAACTTATATACCTTAAATTAGGTAAATTAAAAATTTTGATAGGTACACTAGTGTTCATGTTTATATTACAATGCTCTGTATACATAACTTTTGTCGTTCGTAACAAACTAATAATTAAGTGAATCGTGTATTAAATAAAAACTTAATATCATATGAACGTGAAGAAATATTTTTTGTTAAAAATAATTAAAAAATAAAACTAATATTTAAATATTTTTGTAATACACAAATTAGATAAAAGCGATTATTTTTATGTAAAATATACACGATCTTTTATTAAATTAAAGTGATCTAAAAGGTGTACCAAAATTGCTGCAACAGCTTCCGCATTTAAAGAAAGCCTCATTTTAACTTTGCTAATTTTGCCGTATTAAGAGTAAGGTGATAGCTTTTGTCAATCGATTTGTTAATTTGTTTGGTTGTTACGGCGAATTCTGCCGCATTTTCATAAAAATTCGGGTTATGTTTTGCACCACTGAATTTTCATTAAAAGTTTTTATTAGACAACTTGCATACTGCAGGTGTTTAGCTTATATTTAGACGCTTCATAGTAGAGTATACTTATAAAATATCATTTTACTATAAAACTCAGAGAAATAACTGTATATATTCATTACAAATTCTATATAAAGCCTCAATTTTAAGTTTGTCATATGTAGTATTACAATAGTATTGAGTAATGAGTAGGTATTGACCTTACAGTCAATACTGATAGATTACTTCAGACTTTATTTTTTTAAAATAATAATCTATTTCGTTCCATAGTTTGATTGAATAGAATATATTTTCGATAAAACATTCAAATGTTGATACTTTGACAATTCAATGTTAATATGTGAAACAAACACACAGCAATACTATTATCGTAAAGTATTTTTGTTTTTTATCATATTTCTGATACAAATTGTATGAGTCGATAATATATCCTATAAAGCAATAATATTTTGAGTACTTTGAAACATCCGTTACTCCAATTTTTCAATATGATGATTGCTTATTCTCTATCTATCCTAAATAATTTTTCTAAATATGTGTCGATAGCAAATTTGGTTATCTATCATTTCAAAAAACATGAAATGGATATGATTCATTAGACATTAAATTTTTTAGATGCCAATGACAGATTAACCAGTAAATCATGTAAACAAAACTATCAATAAACTGCTCTTTAAATTACATATCTAACAAACTAATGATGTAAATAACAGTATATAAATAATCTATGTAAAATATGTAAATTAATATTATTAATAACGTTGCAAAGCGATTGAATTTCAGTTCTTCTGCGATAACTTACTTGAATAATGATAATTTTTAATAGTACAGGTAATTAGTTAGAGAAATTACTATAAAAATATCTATTACTATAAGTAATCAATAATAAAATTGAAAATTACTCACTTGCTCGAAAGTCTGTTAATTGTAAACACTTCAAAAGTATTAGCACAATTAATGAAATATTATTGGAGAAAGTAATTTGAAAATATCGTGATAAAAAAATCTTGCAAATATTTTTCATGTAATATCTTGAATCCAACAATAATACATTTCATTATACGATATCTTTTCGAATTTTAGTAAGTAAGCGATAAAAACACTCGATAGTCGAAATTGAACAGTATTAATATATAGTACTTATTAATGTATAGTATATATAGTTTTTATATAGTTCATCTCAATACTTTTAATACAAGTTTAGGTAGAGATTAATTTCACTCGCCGTAATTTCTGTTAACTCGCCAGAATATTCGACACAAATTAATGATACTTAAAGATTGATAAACTTAAACGTAAATCCTTAAAGATACTTGTTCAATATAGAAAATATTCTTGTTAGCTTATGATAGATCAATTATATTTGGCATCGTAAAATAAAAGTATATATATATATATATATATATATATATATATATATATATTATAGACTACTTATGTAGAACAGTCATCACTGTCTTTTGCGGCAACTATGTTGTATTTTTTATTAAGACGTTCATTCAAATAATTTCGAGTATTAAGATCATTATATTGTAAATTGTTCAGTAACCCATTTT